TATTGGGGCAAAGCATGTGTGGCATATATGCATCATATATTGTCAAACTGGCAATATTCATCTCTGAAAACTGTCTGTATAGAATCTCTTGGTTGAAATAATAAAGTTTATTACGAATGTGCTCCAAAGTTAACGCTTTCATGGAAACATCCAAAGAGATTAATTGTTCCAGAGAGCTTAATAAGGGTAGAAAATCATATTTACTCAGCTCCCCCGGTGGTCCCCGAAAAGTCAAATTTCTCACAGTCAAATGCTCCACAGGTGAATACCAAATAAGCAGGAAAATTTGCAGAATGATAGCCCATTGTACATCCACAGTGTCAAGAATGAGAGCTGTTGTCTTGATTTTCTTCAGAAGCATTAAAGAAGGTGAGGGGAAATACTTATAACTCAAGGTATAAATGAGGTTAACTATTTTTAAATTTTCCGAAGCACTCATTCCATCATACAAGAGGGAAAAACTGAAGTTTCGGTTTGCTGCAAAATCAATGTGAAGGTTCCTTGTATTCAAGTCTGTCAGACTCTGAGGCTCATACAGAGAAAAGTTTCTCAAGGTCAGGAAGACAGTGTGCAGCTGCAAATGTTTGATATACCTGAAGTCTGACCTTCGTATCATCATGGCACTTAATCCTAGGTACTCCAAACGAAACATGTTCTCAAATTCCTGACAGATAGGCAAGGCAGTAAACTTATTGTAAGAAAGATCTAAATGTCTAAGACGTGCGAGAGTTAGACAGTAAACTTTCAAAATGTTATTATGAGATAAATCTAAGTATTCTAAATTTTCATTAAAAACAAATACACTAAAGTCAAGCACCATCATTAGATTATGAGAAAGATTTAATACTTGAAGGTCAGAAAGAGAAATAAATTCTGAGATACTAATTCCAGAGATCCTATTATGTGATAAATCTAATACTTGAGTATGTACTGGAATGTTTTTTGGAACATTAGTTAGCAATCTGCTTGAATAATTTGCAATGAATTCATTTTCCACAGTTGGCTGGATATTATTCCACAGTGTGAATGTAAAGACACAAGCAAGGACATAGGTATTTGTGAGGGTTCTCATTATGCTATCCAGCTTTATCTTGTTTTTTTACAGAAACACAGAAGCATATTGTTGTTTTCTGTTCAATATGTCTCACTGTTGAGTCCAGACCTGAGAAAAGAAAATATATGGAATTTGATGAAATTGTTGAATGGGTGAATTTGCTTTTTTTATTGCTAAAATAAGGTTCAATATAAAATAAAAACATATTTTTACATACTCTTGTTCTAAGTTCTTATCAATTGTTCTCAACCCCCCACCCTCATCCTCTAATCCCAGTTATTGTTTTTCTCAGTTAAATATAAATTAATTCCTTTATAATGGGAGGAATATAACCACTGGTATTTTAAAAACACACATATGTTAAGAAATACAACTTTCTCAACAATCTTGAGATGCACAAAATTGGTACAAGTAGAAAATGCATTTAGGAATAAAGGAGAACAGAACAAGGCTCCCATCTGCTCTTTCTGTACATCCCAAGATCACACACATTTGGGGACAAAACTCCAAAAGAACCACCCTCGCAGGAACTGGTGCAAAAACAATCTCTTCAGTCAGAAGAGCCAAAGGATACTCCTCTTCACAGCCCAGAGATCCCGGACATGGCCATGCAACCCCTCAGGTCAGCTGATCAGCTTTGTCTGTGCTATAGCACAAAGACATACGGGTCTATTTTCCAATAAGCCAAGAATCCTGAGGAGAAATTACACTGTCCATTGTATTGGGCATATGTGGTGAGGTTTTGTTAGCCGGGGACTATGGGAATGGCTTCTGTGAGAAGCTGCCAGAAGCTTTCTCTGTGTTTGATAGAGCCAGTGACAGCCAGATCCACAGTTGAACCCATCAGCAATGGTAGTAGTGCTTCTAGGATAACACAGCTCAGAAGGGGAGAAAAAACTCTTGGGCAACAGCAAATGCAGCTCAGAGAGAGGAGTGAGAATATATGAGAGGAACAACTCTGCAGACACCAAGGTCAGTGCAGAAGGAGGGGGAGGAGGTGCTTCAAGTGCTGGAGCTGAGATTCCCCTGCAGCCTGCGGTAAAGACCATGGCGAGGCAGGCCTCCCCAGCCCATGGAGGTCCACACTGGAGCAGGTGGATACCTGAAAGAGGCTGTGACCTCACAGTAACCCTCTGTTGGAGCAGGTTCCTGGCAGAACCTGTGGACCTATGGAGAGAGGAACTTACGCTGGAGAAGGTTTACTGGTAGGACTTGTGACCCTATGGGAGACCCATGTTGGAGCAGTCTGTTCCCTGGAGGACTGTACCCCACGGAAGGGACCCATGCTGAAGAGTTCTTGAACACCTGCAGCTTGTGGGAAGGACTCACATTAGAGAACTGTCTCACATGGGAGGAACCTCACACTGAAAAAAGGGGAAGAGAGCGAAGGGGAAGAAACAGTAGAAATAACATGTGATGAACTGACTGCAACCCTCCTTCACTGCCCTGCTGTGCCTTTGGGAGAGGAGGTAGAGAAATTGGGAGTGAAGCTGAGCCCAGGAAAGAAAGGAGGGGTGGGAGGAAGGTGTTTTAAGATTTGGTTTTATTCCTCATTATCGTACTGTGATTTAATTGTAATAAATTGAAATAATTTCTGGAGATAGAGTCTGGTTTGCCTGTAACAGTAATGTGTGAGTGATCTCTCTCTGTCCTTATCTTTCCCACAAACCTTTCATTGTATTTTATTCCTGTCGAGTTGAGGGGAGTGACAGAGTGGCTTGGATGGACACCGAGCGTCCAGTCAGGGTCAACCCAGCACACTCATGAATATTGTAATGCCAGTCTGACCAAAAGCACAGTGATGGTAAAACCACACCATGATTGGACACTACCTATGAAGCAGTGATTCCCAGAAACAGCCTGTTTCAGTTTTAAATTCTGTCCCCATGTAATCTTTTGTTAAACAAACCCCAAAACCCAATTTTTTCAGTTCAAGGTTATAATGTGTGTTAGTCCCCAAAAATTTTATTAACTGATATCAAAACTCAACCCTTCCCCTTCAAGTCTCCTGCCAGGTTTAATCAAGTTTTCTTTTAATTAAGTGAAGCAAAAATATATATAATTAACATCATCAAAAGCAATAAAAGAGTAAATCAGCAAAATATAAATTTCTACCTCAATTGAATCAAATAAAGTAGTCAAATTGTGCTTTCAGAAAGTTGTGCTAGGCCGTCTGAGGGCACAATAGAAATAAAGCTGGAATGTTTGGTCAAAGTACAGTATCACTCACAAGAGGAAATAAGACAAGGAAATCTGACCCAGTATCCTTCAAAGAGCAGTTGACCCTGTTCTTCAGACTCCAGGCTGGTAAACAATCTAACTCTTGAATCAAATAAACTTTGATCTGGAACTATCCAGAGAAATTTCCCCCTGGCCAAAAAGGACGTCAGGAATAAAGTAAGAAATGTTTTGAAGGGAGAAAAAAACCACAAATATATTCTCTGTCCATGCTCCATTGCCAGACAAGTTTGAATTTACTGCATATTCTATGCTAGATGCTGCAACAAGGGACGAGCCACACTGTATAGCACTGAAGAGTGCCATAGTCAGAGAGTAAAGCAAATACATCGAGCAAAACAATATAAAGGATCAACAGTTACCCCTCCAATGCTGTTTTAGAATATTAAATTAGAGTTGGCTGAGAATTAAAGTTGCCACACCAAATTATTTTTCCCTCTTTCCCCTTCACTGAAATTCAACATACAGATGAGCATTTTCACTAAAATTTCCACATGCAAGATTATCTTCCGACACTGAAGCAACACTAGCACCGGAGATTTGAGAAAGTCCAAGACAAATATAACAAAGAGAAAAAATTATGAATAATGAAGCAAATATAACTCACCTTTGGCGCATGGGATTCACCTCCAAGTTGAAGAACCAGTAAAAGTCCTCTGCATAGTCAGTTAACATCCTCAAAATAGAATTTCAAACATATGTAATCTTCAAGATGGGTAGTAATAATTACTACCTCAGGAAGCAGAAAGAACAGGATTTTTTAATCAGGCTATACAATTCCAAGAATGAATGAAATTTCCATACAATCCAGGTACAAAAAGCACAATGAAAGGAAACTTCTAACAGTTCGGACTAAAAATGCATTTACTTCTGTAATATTTACATAATTGTACAGTTTAGGAGGAAATAAACCTATCTGCAGCACAGAATATTCCCTGTGGCAAGATTATTTAAATAATTCTGCATTTCTAATTTCAAGTCTGCTTCTCCTGTTACACAGATGTTCTAGAAATCCATCAACTGCATCTCCTCTTTGCACACACAGAAAAGAGGAAGCAGAACCCTCACTATGAACTTCTCTTTGTATCAAGATCTCTTGCAGAGCTCTACCCTGACAAATTTTTTTGCTCCACAAGCAGAGTAATTAACGTAACACATTGTAACACAATGGCAAAAGCTTATATCTCAAAAGCAAGTAACAAGGGCAAACTGACACAATTAAAACCTTTACAGGTCTTTACACTAGAAATGCTTTGGAGAGGTATCAAGGGTATCTCACATTGTAACTTCATCCAAAAAAAAATTTAAAAAAAAATTAACAGAGAATATTTCCTATGATAAGATAGCTGTAATGAAGACATTAAGAATACAGCAATATAGGGCAATCTGTGGATGAAGGAATTCAGTAAAGCAGCCGTTCACTTAAAGTTTTGAACAGGGGGACAAGCCCAGGGAATGAATCAACAGAGCAGAGAGTGTATTGCAAAGACAGATGTAAATACCTGTCCTGGTTTTGGCTGGGGTAGAGTGAATTTTCTTCCTAATAGCTGGTACAAGACTATTTTGCGTTCAGTGTGAAAACAATGTTCATAACACACTGACATATTAGCTGCTGCTGGGTAGTTCTTATTTTTAAGTCAAGGACTTTCCAGTTTCCTATGCTGTGTCAGCAAAGAGGTGCACAAGAAGCCAAGAGGGAGCATGGCCAGGACAGTGAACTGACCAGAAGGATATTCCATAACATAGAATATCAGACTAAGTATGTAAGTTGGGAGGGGATGGGCCAGGAGGGCTGATCATTGCTCAGAGATGGGCTGGCCATTGGTCAGTGGGTGATGAGCAATTGTATTGTACATCACTTGTTTTTCCTGTATTTTATTCCTCTCTCTCATTGTCATCATCATCATCATTATTACTGTATTTTACTTCGTTTTAATTCTTAAACTGCTCTTATCTCAACTCACAAGTTGTACTTCTTTTCTGATTCTCCTCCCCACTGGGGGTGGGGGACAGCAGGGGAGTGAGCATGGTACTTAGTTGTGGGCTGGAGTTAAACCATGACAATAACCAAACCCAACATTCCCTCCTAGAAGCCTCCAAACTAAGACAATAGCTGAAGATTCAGCTAAAGAAGCTGAGAAGCATGAAACTTTATTCTAGGTAGCAGTGCTAGCTACATTTCAATCTTGCTTTAGATTCCTTTGAAAGTTTTCTTTTCCAGTTACCTTTTCAATTTTGTAAATAATTTAATCCTTTGGTTTGCTGAAAGAAAATCACCATTTTTCACTTTGATGACTAAAACTGAACTGAACTAAAATGATTCTGGTTTCCCCTGTGCAGAGAATTGAGTAATATGTTAGAGAAAAGTCTGGGTCATCTGTGACCTGAGACAAGACCAGGGATTATTAATGTTTCTCAAAAAGCAGGAAGAGTCTGCTTGTCAGCTGATACTGCCTGGACTCAAAGTTAAAAGAGAAGCTCCCTTTTCTAGGCATTCATCCATGAAAATGAGTAGACTAAGGCACTTGTTGACAGAACAATGATAACGCATTTTTGCAAAACAGTGGCAGTTTTGCTTCCAATATAATCCATTAAAAAAAACTTTGCTGCATGGATAAAATCAAGTATACCACCAGCTTTCATCAGAATTTAGTCTAGTTCACACATAGCTATGTGTGAATTAAAAGCCCCTACAATTAAAAGCCCCTTTTAATTGTAGTACGTTTAATTTCCTTACCACCCTTCTTTCTGAGACTTTAAAATACATTCAAACAAACATTTTGCCATGAAGAAAAATTTGCAATGAGGTAAAATAAAACTGATACTCCTGAATACCTCTGTTAAACCATCAGGAACATTGCATAATGGTTATTTTTACTAACCAATTCAACAGAGTTCTGTTTTCGGTTTACTGATTCAGTCATTTTTCATGAGAGGCAAAAAATAAAAGCCATGTATTTCTGTTCATGCATCCTGAAAAGTGTGAGCTAAATACCATTCTTTCCATAGTCAACACATGTACATTCATGCAGATACTTTGTTCCATTTCTGAATTTTACACTGCTGGGGTTTTTCACTGATTGTTCTACCAATGAGCACCTATCTTCATGAAAACACATTTCACACTTCTGCCTGTATGTTGTCATTACTTACCCAGACAGAAACCACAGCTACACTTGGCCAGAAGCTATTCAGGACCAGCACCATGCCAAAGGTGAGAAGAATCTCTCTAGCCAGAACTGCAGAAGAGAGCTTCCACATGCAAGATATGGAACTAAAACTAATCAGAGCAGATGGACTCATTGAATCACTCATGAAAAGTTAATTGCAAAGCTGGTGTTTGGTCATACCGAGGACCAACTGCAACTCTCATTGTGACAAATTAACCCTGTATGTCAGGTAGATAAAACAAAGACTAACCACCACTACAAGTCAAAGTGAGCAGAGACTGTATCACATTTAAACTCAAGTCTATCTTGCTTTGGTGTAAATAGACACAAGGTTCAAAGCTGTGGAAATGAAACTAGTAACACAGAGCCACCTTGCAAAACACAAGACTTTCTCACTTTATTGGTTATAAATACTGTCTCCGTTTGATGAAACAATAACTATAAACGAGAAATATAGTCAATCTCAGTAAATATTTCCAAAGGAAAAACCAGTCAAACCAAAGGCCTGAGTAAAAACATGGGTTTCACAGAGGTTTTGAACCTTCCCCTCAGCAGAATGCCTCATCTCCCACAGAGTCCCATTATTTTCCCTTGAGTGCCTTTCCTTGCTCTAACTCTCTGCAGCTGAACTTCAGTGATGATGCTTTGTAACATTTCTAAAGCTAAAAAGAGCCCAGCTCTCAGCAGGGCAACCCACGTTGTGTCAGGACTCCCAATCTGTTTCAGTTTACTTTCTTTTGTATTATACACTACCTAGACGTACATAAAAACATTTACACTTCGTTTCACACATCTTTTACGTTTGGGAGGGTATTTAACCCTCATGATATCAGTTTTGTATGTTGATATTTTTATGTACCTAGAAATAACATTCCTGCTAGTCACTGAGATGACTAGTCAAATGCCAGGAATCTGCTCTGATATGGTTTCTGATATCAGAACATATTTATTTGCACACTCCCTTTTCCTGATAAGTGGAGTGCATTAGCAGTTACAGATTTCAGTGCAGAACCAATTGCAAGAACACATCACCAGGCTGCGAAGAAAAGGTTAGTTATTTTCCAAAACAGATAAAGTGCTTGATGTGCTGTGAGACAACATGTGGTCCTAGCACAGGACAAAATTTCTTCATGGACTAAAACTGGTTTTATAGAAAGGGTTGAGAGTATGACAGAGGTTAAAATAGTCACTTGAAATATTCTGATATATATCATTTGAGAAACTCATCATCTCCTGTGGAATCAGAGAAAATAGATGTAATAATTCATTGCATGTGTAGCTGTTTTATCAATTATTTGGCACACATCATGGAAAAAAAAGGTGCCAATAGTATGCGGGCTTCTGATTCCAAAGTACAGGTTTTAAATGATGCCTATGCTTATTAAAAGCTACTCTTTCTGCTCAAGAATTTTGGACATATACCAGAAACCTGTAATAGTATATTTCCGCTTATCATCACATCAGCTACATCCAGAGCTCAGTTTCCCAAGTTCTTTCCAAAGAGGTAAGCAAACCTTGCTAAAACCTTCCACTTCTTAATTTCTAGAGGAAGGACTCCTGGTGGACTTTCTGACTTTCAGGGGGTTTCTTTGTCCTCCAGCCAACACAAGAAGCCAGGTGAGTTCTTAAGGTTACAAACAACAGGGGATATTAACTGTATTATACAAGTTTCAAGGGCTATTGACCTAAACTCTGAGGCTCTCTAAGAAAATTTTCAAGTGAGGCACATAATGATCCAGCTTTTCCCGCTTCTTTGAAAAGGAGAGGCAAACCAAGTTAAGTCGGATCATCTTCAGTTTTCAAAGGATTAAATGAGTCATACACTGAAGCATGAGTGGGAGGGGAAGGAGGAAGCACAGAAAACATTTTTTTCTACAGTCCTGAATTAAATGGCTTCAATGTGGTAATAGGTGTTATATTAACTTTGAAGCTAAGTGGGATGTGAGAGCTAAAGGTGTGAAATTTGATCTTTCCTCTACAGGTCATATACAGTCACTCAAAGTTCAAGACTTCAAGTCAAGAAATCACAGCCTGATTAGACCTCATGCAAAAAGAAGTCTCAAAATTAAAATCTTCTGTGAATAATAATGGAAGATAAGGATGAGACAAAATGCAAACATTCTATACTAAATGTCGTAGGGATTTCTTAATACCCCTTCCTCTCTCTTATTCTTGTTGAAACACATTTTTGAAGGGAAACTTCCTACTTGCTGGTCATCTAACTGTGATATTTCAAACGATCTTCCCTTCTTGGGGCAAAGAGGAAGTTTGCTGTCGTCATCTTTAGCAGCTGTGAATGTTTTCCTGAGCCCAGCTATGTTTTCTTGAAGCCAAAACAGCAGAAGTATTTCTATACTTCTGTATTTCTGTATTTCTAAAATACTGTATTTCTATAAAGGAAAGCAAATACTGTAACTGTAGTTTGTGTTTCTAACTCCATTGATAAAGTCTTACCTGAGGTCCCAAGACCTGGCAAATTTTTTCAGCCTCTGACTGGTTATTGCCTTTCTGATCACAGCTGTGCTACAAAAGCTGTTTCAGTTGAAAAGGAGAGACTCTTTTAATAAGCATAAAGTAAGATATATGGCTGAAAAAAAAAAAAAGTAGAAAGCTGGGGAAAAAAGGCATGATGTAGAGAAGTCAGGAGTTTCTCAAAACATGAATAACAATGAAGAAGGCAGTTTTGTTCATGCAGATATCCTCCTAGTCCCTTGGTTTAGGGTATTTCTCAGGATCAAAATAGTACCTAACAGACTCTATCAGAGGATGAGGGTTAGAGCTCTGATTATCAATTCACTGCTTTTTTCTTGCTGCAGTGCCGAGCTATGAGCTCCAAAAGGTGAAGTAGTACATATTTGCCCTTTTTTTCAGGATACAAAATTTTTGTTTTTCAGACTAATTCCAGTAAAAGATGTCCTTTAACCAAGTTGTCTGAGCTTTGTGATTAAAGCAGCTCTGCAAACTCTCCATCAGCTCAAGCATTTTTCCACATGACTATACCGAGTGCTCCAGACTTTATTCTGCTGAGGAAAAACTCACTACAGTAGTGCAAACTACATTTCAAAATCCACGTTCAAACTCACTTGTGATTTTCTATCTCAAGAGATCTGCGAAAAGGTGAGCTGAATTTTGACTGCAGTTAGGAGGCAACACAGACAACCAGGTAGAAACAAGGCTGTGTAGCAAAAAGTTAAATACACTGACAAAAAAGGAAAAAAAATATTTATTGCTTCTCAAAGATAAAACAGAAGAAAATCCATTAGAAAGATTCTTAACCTGTTTCCTCACACCTGTTTTCATCACTGGATGGCAGGTTAATGTTAATAGCTGCCCTCAGGTTAGCCCAGAAAAGCGCGTGCTTGCTCCTCTCCTTCGGCCACTCCAGGTAGGTGCGCTTTGCCATGAGAGCCTTCAGCTTGTGGTACCTGGCAGGGATAACGTACGGAGGGATGGGCTCCAGTAAAATGAGGATTAAGCTGTTGGAATTCTCACTGAAT